GAAGATAAAATAAAAAAAGAGCAAGTTAAAAATCATTTAGAAAAGTGAGATGTCTGCAAGTCACCAGGGCCTGATGAAATGCATCCTAGAATACTCAAGGAGCTGATAGAGGAGGTATCTGAGCCTCCAGCTATCATCTTTGGAAAATCATGGAAGACAGGAGAGATTCCAGAAAACTGGAACAGGGCAAATATAGTGCCCATCTATAAAAAGGGAAATAAGAACAACCCAGGAAACTACAGACCAGGCAGTTTAACTTCTGTGCCAGGAAAGATAATGGAGCAAGTAATTAAGGAAATCATCTGCAAACACTTGGAAGATAATAAGGTGATAGGAAACAGCCAGCATGGATTTGTAAAGAACAAATCATGTCAAACCAAATTGATAGCTTTCTTTGATAGGATAATGAGTCTTGTGGATAGGAGAGAGGCGGTGGACGTAGTATACCTAGATTTTAGTAAGGCATTTGATATGGTCTCTCGTGATATTCTTATCAATAAACTAGGCAAATACAACTTAGATGGGGCTACTATAAGGTGGGTGCATAACTGGCTGGATAACCATTCTCAGAGAGTAATTATTAATGGTACACAATCCTGCTGGAAAAGTATAACAAGTGGGGTTCTGCAGGGGTCTGTTTTGGGACCGGTTCTTTCAATATTTTCATCAACTATTTAGATATTGGCATAGAGAGTACGCTTATTAAGTTTGCAGATGATACCAAGCTGGGAGGGGTTGCAAATGCTTTGGAGGACAGGGTCATAATTCAAAATGAATTGGAGAAATGGTCTGAGGTAAACAGGATGAAGTTTAATAAGGAAAAATGCAAAGTACTCCACTTAGGAAGGAACAATCAGTTTCACACATACAGAATGGGAAGCGGCTGTCTAGGAATGAGTACGGCAGAAAGGGATCTAATGGTTATAGTGGACCACAAACTAAATATGAGTCAACAGTCTGACGGTGCTGCAAAAAAAGCAAACATGATTCTAGGATATATTAACAGGTGTGTTGTGAGCAAGACATGAGAAGTCATTCTTCCACTCTACTCTGCACTGTGATTAGGCCTCAGTTGGAGTATTGTGTCCAGTTCTGGGCACATTTCAAGAAAGATATGGAGAAATTGGAGAAGGTCCAGAGAAGAGCAACAAGAATGATTAAAGGTCTAGAGAACATGACCTATGAAGAAAGACTGAAAGAATTGGGCTTGTTTAGTTTGGAAAAGAAAAGATTCAGAGGGGACATGATAGCAGTTTTCAGGTATCTAAAAGGGTGTCACAAAGAGGAAGGAGAAAACTTGTTCTTCCTGGCTTCTGAGGATGGAACAAGAAGCAATGGGCATAAACCGCAGCAAGGGAGGTTTAGGCTGGACGTTAGGAAAAAGTTCCTAACTGTCAGGGTGGTTAAACACTGGAATAAATTGCCCAGGGAGGTTGTGGAATCTCCATCTGTGGAGATATTTAAGAGTAGGTTAGATAAATGTCAATCAAGGATGGTCTAGACAGTACTGGGTCCTGCCATGAGGACAGGGGACTGGACTCGATGACCTCTCAAGGTCCCTTCCAGTCCTATGATTCTATGATTGACTTTATTGTTATATATGAAGAATATAGCATAAAGCCAAATTACAGTATATAGTATTTAAACACAAAATTAATTTACTAGTAAATCTCTTAATTCAAGTTCAAATTAATTTAAAAATGGGTCCTTTAAGTATGCGATTTTTTTTCTTTGTCCCAGATTATCTTAATAATGGAATAATATGAACTTCAAGTGTTCTAAATAAGTTAAATTGATTGAAATCTTGTGCATAAGCTATATTTCTAGAAATTAGGTTCTATATTTATAGAAATTGTCATTAACTATTATTATTTCAAATTGCTATGATTATGTAGGCTATGTACAAGGTCAGGTTAATAGCCCAGATTACTCTTATGTAGAGTTGTTATGACATCAGAAGTAACTCAACTAGTTACTACTTGTAGCAACACCACAAGGGGGAAAAATAGGGAGAAACCTTAATCCACAGAAGGTTTCAGGATTGTCACTCTGCCACTCTGAAGCCTAGAATGTTTGTTGAGTCAGTGTGAAATGATGGAAACAGCATTTTGGTTGAGAATTCTTTTTATTCAGAGTATCACCGGGCTCAGTCATCACTGGGTTTTGCAGTCTGTTGACATCCAGATTTTAAGTTTGAACTATTTTGGCTTTAAAAAATAAACTCATGTAGTGCACAGCTGTGGTGAGGCAAGTATTCAGCTGTGCCATGCCAAGAGTCCTAGATCACTGGGATATCAAAGGTAGCTCAGCCATCACCATCCTTATTCCACATCTAATTTGCAAGCAACAGTTTCTCTGTTTGTGTGTGGGAGAGGGATCAGATGGTGGATTACTGGGCCCAGTTGTCATGCTCATGTGACCTCTTTTTTCATTTATTAGTGTGTCTCTAGTTGTATGGTTATTGTATGATTTCTCTTTAGGACAATGTTATGGTTGTTTGGGTGTGTTAACTGTCTATTCTCATACTTCAATAGATTTGGATTTCTTTTAAGTGGAGCCTTAACTCTGACTTTGTTGCGTTTTGGAATAATTAAAACATTCCTGGAAAATTGATTTTTTAAATCTGTTTTTTACCCCTACCAATATGTACTCTCAACCTAAATAACATTTTACTATAGGGTTTTTTTTTGGTCTGGGAATAACTAAATCTGCAAATACTGAAATAATCCATAGATCTGGAGGAGTGGCCAAGCTTTTCAAAGCCAGACTCAATGGACAGAGGAAGGAAGACAGATTTTTGCTTTGCTCAAATGCTTTAGGTTTTCCTTCCTTCACTGCATTTAGGAGTAATAGTCTGGCCATTTTCTTGACTTTGTGACCCATTGGCTGTGTAGACTTCCGGGTAAGGAGCATTCACTTTTAGTTCAAGGATTTCCAAACAGTTGTTAATTTCCAGCTGTTCTCTGCTCTTTTTCATCAGCATGGATTTTATGTCAGGAAGGTGATTGAGGCATGTCTACATCCCTTTCTACCACATGGATTTGCTCCATGTACATTGGTAGCCAGTTGCCAAAGTAAGTGCAATACGATAACCCCTAGACCAGCCAAAGCAGATCACAATTTGCATAGAGGGAGCTCACACCTGCTTATTATGGATTCAGTGTCACTGATGCAGATTGCAGTTTACCTTTCTACATCACGTCTTTACACTGGTGCAGCCCTGTAGGTAGTGATGGCGGAAGTTGGGGCAAATCTCCACGTAGAAAAGGCCTATGTTAGGCTACGTCTGCACTGCTGGTTTCTTGAGCAAGAACTGTTTTGCGCAAGAGTTCTTGTGCTAAAGGTCTTGCTCAAGAGCACATCCACACTGCCTTGTGCTTTTGTGCAAGAGATGTGCTTTTGTGCAAAAGCGTCCATGGCAGTGTGGACACTCTCTTAGGGTATGTCTACACTACCCCGCTAGTTCGAACTAGCGGGGTAATGTATGCATACCGAACTTGCTAATGAAGCCCGGGAGTTGAATTTCCCGGGCTTCATTAGCATAAAGCCGGCGCCGCCATTTTTAAAAGCCGGCTAGTGCGAACCCCGTGCCGCGCGGCTACACGCGGCACGGGCTAGATAGTTCGAACTAGGTAGCCATTCCGAACTATCTGTACACCTGTTCTAGATGAGTAGCTAGATGGGAGCCACACTGGTATGGTAGTTCTTGGGAACTGTTGTTTTTATATGTGGGGGCACTTTAACAGGGCATGAACTAGACTAATGCTAATATAGCTTTTAGGTGGTGGCAGGGCTTGCAGAATCATAGCCCCAGGGCAGTTTGTGCATAATGCCAGCCATGGAGTTAAACAATCTTAGAGTCTCTTGCACCCAGTTATTAACATGCAACCCACATCACCTTTGTGATTGCCTCTGAGATTTTGGGCTCATGTGTCAACTGAGCTGCTGAATATTTGAGCTTCACCATCTCTGCTAAGCTTTTTAATGTGCTTTGCAAACTAACCTGAAAGGTTTATAGTGCGGATGGTTTTAGGATTCCATAACATTTGACAGCACTCTTCTCCCTCAAGCCTGCAGAATTATCTGAAAGCATTAACACCATGTTCTCTCCAGTCTGTGGTTTTCAGACACTAGCTAGCGTTAGGACCCAGGGGAAACTTTCATCTAATATTGGCAAATGTTGGTTGCGTTATGTGTTTATTTATAGTCAGCTCATGTTTAAGTACCTCATAGTTCTTTTCTTAGCATGAGAGGGACCAGCTCAACTATCAATTAACCAAGAAGCTAATGATAACACACGGGAAGCTATGTAAGGCAGGTGCTCAGAGGGACTGAAGGAGGTGGGGTTCAGGAGATCGAAAATAAAGGACTCTTGCTTAGTCTGAAACCTCAATTATTTATTACCAACAATACTTATTTATAAAAAAACTTCAGAATGTCATTGTGACTCTCTCCAATTTTACTTCCCTTCCAACTGCCTCATTTGTCTTTATTATTTAGACAGTCCTAAATAAGAGGTGTTTTCCCCCTTGTGTTTTGACAATACTTCAGCCAGGTGTTCTCATTCTTTCTCTCACTTTCTTCCTCTGATTTTGCCAGGCCGAGATCTTATTATTTTTGTTGGTAAAATGAAGATCTTATTTCTTTGCATAAACCTCAGGTATCTGTACTCCTAAAGGGAGGGTACATTGCACTTTGGCATTCGCTTCTGTCCTTTCCTGTCTCATTCAAAAGACAGGATTTTGCATTTATGGGAGTTAGAGGTGGGAAAGGCAAGAAAATAAAAGGGGGGTATTGGAGCCTCCTGTCCTTGTCCAGGATAAAGCTGATTATGTTTGTTTATTGCTTTGTTTTATTCAAGCCATAGCAAGTGGAGGACTGTGTGAACTCTGCTCTAGACAGCAGCTCAGGTTCTGACACCATCTGCTACTTAATTCACTTGCCAGAAAAGAGTTTGACGTAGGTGTGTGTATATGCATACATGCTTGTCTTCTAGCCATGCATCATTTAAACAGACTCCTGCTTCATGCTGATCAGTTTGTGAGAACCATTCGCGTTAAAAGATTGGACTTGGATTCTTTTGTTTTTTGTTTTTCCCAAACCTCCCTTTTTAGGTGTCTCTGTTTCAGTTTGATTTGTTTATCTAGGTGGGGGGGATGAAGGGAAGGAGTTGATTGGTGGATTTGCAAAGGATTTCCCTGAAGACTGAGCTCAAATCTCCTTTCCATGTAGCTTGGACATTTTAGGCACTGGATTTCTGTTCTTGACTTTTCCTGGAAGCTATGAGTGCAGGGTGCATGGATTTCTTTTGTAAAAGCAGCAGGAAGCAGAGCAAGTGTAAATTGTCTGTGTCAGGCTCCCTGGATAGCTGGTAAGTGTGTGTTTGCAGGACCTGCTTAGCTGGTAAGTGTGTGTTTGCAGGACCAGTAACAAACCTCTTAGCTTTGTTACTGACATGGTGGCCAGTTCTGCTTGGCTGCTGTCCCCAAGAGTTTCACATACACCAAGTTCACTCTCTCTCCTCCTCCTCCTAATAACGCATTACTTCCATGAAGACCTCTACCTATAGTGCATGTGACACTCTATATTGTATTGTACTGGCTCACTTACCTTTAGACGTGTGTGTGTTTGGCACAATTAGTTGTCTAGACTAGGCAATATCAGCTTACAGCATTACTGTGTAAATACCTACCGCTGTAGAAAATTACTTGAGATCTCAGACTGGGTCAGAAGGGATTGCACAGAATACACACCTGGAAATGCTAATTGTTTTTGCAGTCCTTAGCTAAAATCATGCGATGCTTCTGCTGTGTGCTAAGAAACTGCTTGTAGTCACTTCTGAGAAATTGTAACTGTTTATCCCCGGAAGGTTCCTCATCTCTGTCTCCAAATTTTGGAGTTATCTCTCATCCCCACCTGTCTAGATTAAATCATCCCTCCGTCTTTGCTAGCCGGGGCTTTTGAGGCCTAATTCTGGACTCCGTCCTGGCTGAGGAGAAATGAATGCATTTCCCCTCCAAGCTAAATGTTCTGATCTAAGGGTATGTCTTCACTGTGGGACAATGTTGAATTAAGAGACGTAGCTGAAGTCAAAGTAACTTAACTCAACTTTTGGTGCTGTCCACACGGCAGGAAGTTGAAGGAAGAACACTTTTCCTTCAACTACCCTTACTCCTTGTGAAAGCAGGGTTACCGGCATCGACTGTCTACACTGGGACAAATTTCGGAAAAACCTCCTCTTTCAGAAGAGCCCGTCTTTCTCATGAAAGGAGGAAGACAGGGCTTCCAAAAGAGTGTGTCTGCTCTTCTGCCAAAAAAAAAAAAAAAAAAAAAGAGACAAGAAGAGTG